TAAGGGTTTCTTTAGAACTGAGAGTTTTCTAATGGATCTTCGAGAGCTTGGAAGTACTCTGGAGAATCTCGTAATTTTTGCCGATTTAACAGTTGAATGCTTATTGGTCCCTCTTCCTACCAAGTTTTTGAGGTCTAGAGGAATGGGCAGGAAGATCTCAAGCCAACATAGGAAGCCGACTTTATGGATGTCATTTTGGGGAACACAGCGACATTGAGGGTTTCCTGCATGTCCCAAGTTTTTTTTTCCCAGCGCATTGGTTTACCTTCAACCTAGCAGAGCACTTTTTCGCAAAACGTTCCTCGGGCTGTTTCTCCTATCCCTTTCCAGGCAACCCAGTGACAGGATGTTCGCATGAAGATGCTCGATCTTGCCAATTTTAGCTTTTTGTAACAAGGTCGTGAAATGGAGGTCGCCACTGCGGACCGAGTTTACGTGAAATTAAGGTGATGGACAAGTGAAATTCGTTTATTTGATAGACATCATATATGATCGAAGTATACACGTGCACATTGAACTCCCGATAGTTTCATAATCGAGCGCGAAGTTCAAATTCGATCGTATCGCCGCTCCTCGGTGACTTTTTTGTCTCCACTCTCCGAAATCGCGCGAAGCGCTGGATTCATTATTGCGTCGCCTGGTACGTAGCCGGCCAAACGCCGTCTTCTTTCCATGCCTCGCCTGGCTCTGCCTCCTGGTCCTTCGATGGTCCATAACGTGTAGTTTTTGTACGTTTGTTTCTCTTCAGAAACCGAATCTTCATGCGTGAAACTTTGTGTGCTATTTCCAGTGATCACAACTGACATATTCATGTTAGGAAAGAGTGCAAGAATTTTCCGCGCAAGATTCCTTTAAGTTTCGAAGTGGTCGAAGTTTTTAAGCGACGGTTTGAGAGACAGTTAAAATTGGGAAAGGGTGAACAAGTTTGCTCTATTCCAGTTAGGGGGGGGGCATCATGATGCAGTTTCTCGGCGAACTAGTGTGAACTCGAACATTCCAGCTTTTCACGCATGTCAAGTGACTGCCCTCACCCCCCCCCACCTCCACACCCCTGGCTCGGAGTTACCCTGTATTTCTGGAAATACTTCATCAAGATGCTCCCTAACAGGAATAGATCCAAAAGTGTACCAAGCTTGAGTCCTTCAAAAAGGTCTTATTTTCAGATTCAAAGGCAGAGGTTGCGCGGAATTGTTAGAGAGACATCTGGTGCGTCCACTCTTCCGACCCCTTCGTTCGCTCATTACAGTCAAAGAAGGCAAATCATACAGGAAACAATGGGAAGGGTAGTAGTCAGTCCTGACGACATTGTACCCTGCGGTGTATCCACTTCTTACAAAGTTTCCCAGCTCTCAGTAATGTTTGGCGTTTTGACTACAACGGAAGAGGGCATAGTGGCTTAAGAAGCAGTGATAGCTACGAACAGGAGCAGCAAAAAGGTACTTGCAAATGAAAAAATCCCGGGTACATTAGGATATTGTGCCACAAATCAAGTGGACGAATTCACCTCGTGAGCATAGTAGAGGTATTCACATCTATTCACATAGGTAGAAGATGTGCCGCTCCTGCCACTCGAAAGTGTGTGGCAAGGGGTCAGAAATGACTCCCTTGAAGCTATGGCCTTCTAGCCGGGTCCCACCGTAGCGCCTGCACCGGTGTCTGCGTCTCGCCCGTTCCCATGCTCCCTCAACTCAAGTATTTTTTCGCGTGCATCTTCGACTTAGCTCCAATCCACCCAGTAAAAAAGGTGCATATTCTGTTGATTTTGACAGGACCTGTTTATTTACTGTCGGTCCAACTAGCACCTTTACTCTTTTCTATAATCGCGGCTAGATGATCCTAGAATGCGTTTGAGAAATGATCACACTATTTACTGATCGCGCAAACTTTTGAGAAGATAAAGCCATTTGTGTCTCAGCAGGGAAGGTCAATCCACTTACCCGGTGGGGTTTTTTCTCTCTGGAATCGCGATAGTTGATCATCGGTGCATTTGGAGAACGCCTGAAAATTTGCAATTAAATATGAGGCTGAAGTTTCTGAAATACTTTGAGGCTTTAAGAGATATTAGTAACAAATTACTCAGATCAAACCTGTTGACTTGGTAAAAATTTAACGCTCGCCTAGCCTTTATGAACGGAATCCACTTCAAGGGGCCCTTAATGTCATGAGTGGTGTCTCTAACCACTGTGCCACCTCGCATCTTACTTCGCCTCGATGACAACTGGTAATAGAATGGTATAGTTACTATCGGAAAGTAAAAAATATAACTGAACCTGAGAATGACGGCAAAAATGTTTTGCAAGTACGCTTCTCAAAGGGGCGGAGGTGGTACCTGGCAAGTGGCGCCACTACTCATGGGCATGGCGCGGGAGTCATATCTCGTATCAAATTATGCCCAGGTCAACCAAACCTTCATTCCTCAGGGTCTGTTAACTTGTAGGGCGGAAGTGGTGTAGTGGCAAGTGGCACGCTTACCACGCGAGCGGTCCGGGGATCAAATCCTGGGTCGTGAGTCGCCCGGGCCAACCAAGCCTTCCATCCCTCCGGGGTCGGTTAAGAGGATAAAAACACTGACTTGTACATCGGCTGGCCCCCGCAAGTCATTGTATAGGCCACATCGCATTCAAACGCCACTACGAATGTACAAATGGAAGTAGAATGCGTGCCGCATCCCAAAAAGGGATTGATCAACGGCAAATGCTTTATCCTTTTTTTATCTTCAACTTGTATCAACCTTATTTAAGATCACTGAAGCACTGACGGCAATAGCTGTCCCCATATAGGCCAATTTGAATCAAACGCCACTACGATTCTTAATGGGAGTAGAATGTGTGCCCCACTCCAAAAATGTATGATCAGCGCTAGATCCATTATCATTCATCCTTTATGAGGGATCTAGACGGTTACAAGGCTTCTGTCAACCAAAGGGTGAGAGCGTAGCTGGAAAAGCACACACTTTGTGTCTTATTGGGACTAAGCCTTTTGAAGAAGATAAAGAAAGAGGAGATGCTGTGATAGTGTGCACTTGTGAGAGCTCCCAGACATCACTACAAAACGCTGAACCGCCAAGGCTCACGGTTGACAGATGTCCTGAGACCGTTGTAGACTCCTCTACGCTGGCGCTAGCTTTTTTGGCACCGAGGTAGTGCCCAGAGTCAACCCTGCGTTGCGCAGTTCGCAACGGCACGTTGAGAGATCCTCAACGCACGCTGTATGGGCGGAGACGCAGACGGCTCGAGCATGCGAGTGTGAATGTTCGCGCGAGAGAACGTGTCTAATCGGGCGAAACTGCGCAACGTGGCCGTTGAGAACTGCGCAACGCAGGGTTGACTCTGGTGTGCCCTCACACTGATGACGTCACATATCGTTAAATCTCGTCCGTCACCGAAACCGCCGGCCAAAAAACCACTATTCTGCCGCTAACCTTCATTTCTCTCTTCTTCTTTAATACCTCTCCATTTTTCTAACACACGACTACTCCAACGTACTTACTGCCGCCTTCACTTGAAAATGATCACAAATGAAACAGAGCAACATACCAGATGTGTGCCTGAGGGGAATCCCTATAGTGCTTGTTTTTCTTTCTGCGTTGATATTCAATATATTCGTCCTCAGTGAACTGTGGCTTCACTGACAACGGTGGCTTCTCCTTTGTGTACTGATTTCGAGGTTGTGGATATTCCTCCCAACTGCCAGGTATGCTTTGTGTGCCGGCACGGTTTGCCACTCCGGTTCCTTGAATTTAGAACTATTGTTTTGCAGTTACCTGCTGGAGGCAATTCACTATTCGACAAGAAGGAGCTAGGAATTGAACTCTCCGAAAAATGTGGAAATAATGGAAATAATTTTTAACCGTAGCACTATTTGGAAACAATTACAACTACTCTCTCGTTACTATGTCACCATCTGCTTCCTGAATTAAAAGAAATGCGCCTGGAACTTTGATTGACAGTGATAGTTCTGAGTTCAAGTGAATAACCATGCCGCTATAGCGTTCAAGTGACCTTGGAGAACTACAATAGAAGCAGGGCCGAAATTTTTGAGTCGCAGTTTTGGGATCGGTAGGAACCATTTGCTCCACGGCTGGTCTACACAGCCTTCATTATTGCTTCGGTGCTCACATCTCTAACAACCACCTACTGCCTCCTACTTCCCAAAACTTCTTCAAGTGGAGAGCATGGAAATGAAAATATACTAAACTTTTGAAATGGTAAAAACTCCAAAATCGCAGGAACGGGACAAAACTGTTTTAACTGAAGCCGATGTCAGACTTTGCGAGGGCGATTCGCTAGTGTTCACAGTCGCGTCGCGGTCAGCGATTTCAATAGTTTTATCGAATCGCTCGATTGGCTAATACCGCATGCGACCGCGGACGCAAGCGAATCGTTAGTAGCGAATCGCTCAATTCGCAGTGTCACATTGGCCTTAAATTCCTCAAATATGTTTTCTAAACCAGTGGTGCCAATTTCAGCAAGCGGCACTTTTTCTAAACTAATAAGTGCACCCACTGCTCGGTAGGGATTGCCTTGCCCAAAGCATGAATGGAGTCGCTGAAAGGCTGCGTTGGGTTGAGTTGCGTAAGCATCTGGCTAACATATCAGCGGATTATAAATTCCTCCGTTGGCGTCTCGGAATGTTTGGTGGAACCAAGTATTTTTTTTGATTGATTGCTTAAAAATAATCCTTTAAATGAACGCGATTTTGTGCACATCGACAGTCGGGTGATTTTGGAAGGAACTTGTCTATTAGATAATGGCTGCTAGTGTCTCTGGACGGCTTTACAAAAAAGCGATTTTTCATATTCAGTTACGATATTTTTTACAACAGGACTTCATACTAAGCTGTGACAAAAGTTAACAGAATTGTGGAATGAATTCCGAAAAATAGAAACGTCCACTTCAAACACTAACGAAGCGATCATATAAAAGATGACTTGACCTAGGCATACCTTCTCTAGGAGGACATTGACAGTATCCTCCATCTTCTCCAGGGAGACCCTTGCGTCCTGGAGCGCCACGTAATCCGAATTCACCTTGATCACCCGTTTCTCCAAGAGATCCAGGCGGCCCTTCCAACCCTTTAAAAAGAACTAATCTCAATAAATATACATGTGAGGAAATAGTTCTTCTCTATCAATAACGACGCGATAGAGATTATGAAGTTCGACGAACAGAGGAAGAAAAAACTCCTTGATTCAATATACCAATTAAATGAACTCTAAAAATTGCCTCATGCTTTTTGTAGAAATCATCCTGTATTTTGGTATATTCAGGGGTACCTCTTATTGGTGACAATGAATAGTATCGGATCAAAGTTGAAATCTATTGAGCCAAACCTAGCATCACGACCTCAATAATTCCCCTCCATCTACAAATGAAGACTGTATCAATATGATTCGTATTCTTAAACGGGTGACCAACCTGGAGGAGCAGGCAGTCCACTAAGGCCTGGATCACCACGTGGACCAGGAAAGCCAGGCGGTCCCTGTTCTCCTTTTGGTCCAGGTACACCGATGAGCTGAACTGCATCTTGTCCAGGTTCACCTGGGATGCCTTGTTTGCCAGGTCTCCCTGATTGACCTCTATTTCCAGGTGCTCCAATGGGACCTGGTTCGTTTGTTCCATCAGTTCCGGGTAATCCAGCTGCACCTTGTCTTCCCTGCTCACCTGAAACAAGTCGTAATCAAGGTACTGCTTCATAGGAGTGCTAAGCGTAATTTCTTTTTCAATTTTTGCGTTTTGCATGCCCAAGAAGCTTAAAAAGTCAACTTCCTGAGCGCTTACCGCCTCTTGCTGAAGCTGGCCGACGTCCTTCGGAAGTTGTAATTCACTATTAAAGACTTCTACAAGTCTGAAAAATGTTCACCTTGCTCTCCTCGTGGTCCATCCTCTCCACGAGGCCCTGGCGGGCAGGGTGGGCAGACTGTCTCTTCCCCTAAAAATACTCCATCTATTCCAGGACGTCCTGGAACTCCAGGTAATCCATCTTCCGCTGGCACTCCGTTGCTACCAGGCGGTCCACGAGGGCCACGTGGGCACTGGATAACTGTGCAGTCTGCAAAAAATCCTTTTCTTGGACCAATTTTCGATAATTGCCCAATAGCACTCAGCTGTTAGACGGGAAGTCGTTCTAGAGCGTGGAATTCGTGACCTACTCATGCTATTCTCGTTTCTGAATAGCCGTGAGTGTGCAACACAGGGCTCTCAGAAGACAATGACCAAGTGCATGAAAGTTCCGTGGCCGTTTTTGAAGAACCAAATTCCGGTTATTATGTGCCAATGAATAGGTTTCAGCGTTCCGCGTCTTGCAGTTGAAACCACAAAGGTTAGATAGTAGCCTGTTTGAAGCTGCGCGTTATAGCTAAGTGCCACTTTCATTTCCTTCATTATCACAGCTCTCACCAGCATATTTCTCGAAGGCCTGACGTAAAAGGCAGTGTGAGGTTGCACTAATGGTTACATAGTAAGTTGTTACTGTGGAGTGCAATAAATAAAATTAGCACAATTCATGCTCCAACGGACCGGCGTTCTCTGAAGACACAACCTGGAAAGAGTTCGGGTGGATGAATCCCTTCAGTGATCAGGATAGAGCTGTTCCAAAGCGCCTCATCCTCCCCGCTCTGAAGTGAACAACAAGGGCGCTAGGGCCTTGCAAGAGCCGCTTCGACCGCTTCCGTATCTTCTGTTGATGTCTGCGCGCTCTGATCCGCTCTATCAGCTACCCTCAATTCTCTGTGCTCGCATTCTCAGGGCCTCAGCGCAGAAGTGGGCAAGCCCGTAACTTCAGTATTTCTGACACATTCTTCTCTATACTGCTGACCCACTTCGCACCAGTGCTCTCATTCCATGTGTAAGAACCACAACACTTTGATTCCAAGCCGTGCCTTTGATAGAAGCATCACTCATCACAATAATGTAAAGATAATAATAATGGGAAGAGTGTAGTAAATGTTTCCCGAAGCTGGTTCAGACTTTGGGACCACAGTGACCAACAGATGACAAAAAAAACAATGCTTACGTAGTGCTGAGGAATTAAAATGTATGGCAACAAAATCAAGATTCTTGGAAACGTTATTACTTTGATGCAAAATGATTAAAAATGACTGTTATTCTGCACCCTTGGACTCAAGAATCTTGACTCGGCTCAGCCTTATTTTTTATCAGTGTAAGCACCTTTATAATTACCTCCCAATTGCCCACGTTCACAGTTTAGCATTGATTTAATGCTGTCTATAGAATAGTGGTGAATAAATTGGAGAACGTTTTTGTACCTCTTTCGCAATTTGGAGTAACGTGTTGGCGCAGGTATGTGTCAAGCTTAGACAGCGCTGGTAGCCCTAAGGGAAAAGCTTAAAGGAATCAAGCGTGAAAGTCAGGTCTTCACGGTCCTTCTGCGCCAACATTTGCGTTATGATTTTCAAGATACCTATTAACACGTTGACGACATCGCGCGTTTTGGCATTTTTGGCCGCGTGGGACCAGAGCGATTCTGCGAGCGCCGCCGCCTCACACAAATCTGTGGATTTTGAGCTTTAAATACGCTCAACTCGATGCGACAGAAATTTTCCTATAAAATCCGATGTGAGGGCGGAAGTGGTGTAGTGGCAAGTGGCACGCTTACCACGCGAGCGGTCCGGGATCAAATCCTGGGTCGTGAGTCGCCCGGGCCAACCAAGCCTTCCATCCCTCCGGGGTCGGTTAATTGGTACCAGACTTGTCTGGGAGGATAAAAACACTGACTTGTACATCGGCTGGCCCCCGCAAGTCATTGTATAGGCCACATCGCATTCAAACGCCACTACGAATGTACAAATGGAAGTAGAATGCGTGCCGCATCCCAAAAAGGGATTGATCAACGGCAAATGCTTTATCCTTTTCCTTTTTTTTGTAACTTATTAGAAGGCACAGTTGTAAAAGTTTGACCGAAATGACGTGTTAGGCCATGAAAAGGCAAATTTTACTTACTTTTGCTTTAGTGATTTCAAAATTATTTTGGACGTGGTTGTTTCAGTAAAAACACATATCTTGCCATACGAATAGGTTTGTATTCACTTCTAATATTCTTTTTTATCTACATGTTCGTGTTAATGAAAGAAAACGAGGAATGAACTGAACGGATATTTCGTAAGGTCTGGAAAACCTCTGCCAAACTAAAGAATATTTGGTCATTCTGTAAGCCACGTGGTTCTTGGTTATGTTGATGTATGGCCTATAAAATGAACACAAAAAACTGGGAAGAAATCGGGCATGTGCGCAAAAAAAATGTAATGGGTGTGGCACACATAGCTGCCACACACATTACGTTCCATTAGCCCGATGAGGTGCAGAAATTGCGGCATGCATAGTTGCCGCGCTGTCGTCAAGGTGTTAAGATTTGCGTGGGAAAATGTCACAGCGAATGAACAACAGGCACATTTCAAAAATCCTCTGGTACAAGCGAAATCAAATCTTAATTCCGAATTACGGCAGACCACTAATTTTCGTCGCTCGTTTTAACACAAGAGGCTCATTGTTTTCTGGTAAAGAAATAAATTAAATACAAGAACGATTACAGTAATGTGGTAGAACGTACAAAGTGTTGATCCTCCGTAATTTTATGCAATACCCGAACCCTCATTTTCTTAGTACTCAATCAATTTCTAAAGCCTTGCCACTATTCCGTGATTTCGTCCACCTGCCAAAAGTGTTATACACGTATAAGGAACATAAAGGTTGTAGGTTTTAACAAGTTTAATGAAACTTCTCAATATCTAGGTTTTAAGCAGGGGGCTCCGTGTCAACAGAATCGATGGGATCGCCGCGCCAGTAGGCGTGGCCACGACGGCGCGGCGGGTGGGCGTGTCCATTGCCAGATATCGGATGTACTAATGGCGTGGGACTTTCTGAGCATTCCGATGACTGTGATTGTGAATGACTGTTCAGCGGAATTTCTAATTGTTGAACCCTACGTGTTCTACTTCGGAGCAAGGATACAGTCACTTTCATTAGCTATCTTAATATTGTAGTTGTTCCTTATCTAAATCTATAATAAGCATGTAACCGAGAGATAAAATGCCCTGTAGAGCGCGACACACTTTGGTACACTGAGAAGTGACGAGAGATGCGGCATTAGAGTTGTGATCAAATAACGACTGTGGACCCCCGCCAATCCCACGACGTTTTTTCGATGCCCAGAGCCCGTAGATGGTAATCTTCCCCCGAATTACCGTAACAGTGAACCACCCCTGGCATTATGCCCACATTCTTTCTCCTCAATTTGGAGAAGGCATAATTCTTCCGCACTTTCACAGATACTGTATCCCCTGTATATAGACAGACAACTACGCAATACAACGCCACCAGAGACGCTCACAAAGCACCGCGCCGATTCCCTGAAAGCAAAATTCGTACGCTGGCATCGTACGTTCTTAAAGTACAGTTACTCGAAAATTCTCCCATATTTAAAAATACCAAAACGCTAACAGCACACACGAAAATCTCGAGCTCTCTGAATGCGCTGAACAATGAAATATTATGAAATAATACAAAAGTATCATTCATGGCGTTGGCGTACACTCTGCTTCAGAAAATGAGAAGCGTGTCGAGTGCTGACGAAACATCACAAATGACGACGACCTCTCCAAAATGTACATGTTTTCTGCTAGTAAAATAATTAGCCGATTGCAGTTGCATCTCATAGATGTCACTAGTTATTATATTATTATCATCTATCAGCTATCACTGTAGGTCACAGTTACAAAATTGACTTGAAGGCCGTCGTCACATGTAGTGTGTGTTCTGCACTCGACGCGCATCTGGTTTCTGGAGCAAGTGTGTGCATTGATATATTCCTGTCGGGACCGAAATACACATCATACGACAAAGCCTGGTGAGGTGGCTCCCACCAACAGGCACCGCCACCGAGCCACATTTAGCTCAATGAGAGAAATGAATCAAGAATGATAATATTGGGCGAATATACACGCAAATGCTAAAAGTCAGTCAAAAAATTGATGGTTTAGTTAAGAGACAGACGGTATGAACTTCCTGGTAGGACCACATAACGACGGTCCGCAATGGGTTAAATTAACATAACAGTGCTGCAGCAGCTCAACTATCAACGGCATCGATACATCAGTACGAAAAAGACTGTGACGTGCTAAACTCAAGGCACAATTTTCTTAAAACCAAACGTAATAAGGCTCTACAAAACAACTTACCTCCGAACAGCTATTTGATTAGATTCTATGATTTTTGAAAGGAGCGCCACTTTGAATTATGATCTATTCGTATTCGGCAAAAGCTCACAAATTAATTTCATATAATTAAAATATAATTATAAGCACACAGCTTTTTTGATGAAAACAGGAGTCCTTAATGCTCGTGATGAATATGAACTCATAATTGAGTGAGATAAAGACGGCAGTGACCTTTCTTCTCCGACGAACACTATGGAAACTTCTAAGCTAACAAGTCTTGATTAGTGGTTACGACAACAAAGTTACCTTTTTATAAGGTTTCAAAAAACATGGAAAATGGAGAGAAATGCTTAAAGAAAAGGGGACATGGCAAAATAGTTTAACGTATACATACTTCTTAACTACTGGTTAAGCAAGGCAAGACCAGCAGATTTCCTGTTCTTCCCAAATGGGACGAACTTTCTTAACCCAGTTGTCAGCCACCGGTGGCTGACGGGCTTTAAATGGAATTTTTGAAAACAAAAGGAGGTCTTTGGGAGATTTTCTTTGCTGTGAAGAATCTTCATACCCTCATCTATCTAGGCCACCCCTGGGCAGAGGAAATCTCTATCCACTAGAATTTTATTGAAGAAAAAATAACCTGACTTAAAAATTTCACCGAAAAAGTTGAAAATTTTTTTTCCGCTGAAACTTTTCCCATAGGGGTTTTCGAGGGTCCTGATCTCAAATATGATATCCATTTTTGGCGCTGGCGCCAAATTGGCGCCATTTGGCGCCAGTTGGCGCCAAGGGTGTATTCACCAAATTCGCTGTAAACTTGCGTATGGGGGTTATTTGAGGCCCTGATTACGAATATGACATTCGTTTTTAGCGCTGGCGCCAAATTGGCGCCATTTGGCGCCAGTTGGCGCCAAGGGTGTATTCACCAAATTCGCTGTAAACTTGCGTATGGGGGTTATTTGAGGCCTTGATTACGAATAT